TGCTGCCACACTGAGAAAAAAAAACGTATTTACGTGATAAGTTTCATAACGTGGAACTTATCATGTAATTACGTGATACTGAGACAATTTTGTTTTCCATTGTGGCAGCAATACGCTTCTTTCCGTACATCTCACTGCACTGGCAGGCAAACGGTCGGCTCCGCCCGCTTGAGAAGCTACGAACGACGTCATCGCGTTCGTTACGTCTTGGTCTCCCTACGGCTGCCAACATGACGCAATCACGTACAGTTTCCAAACAATACTCAAGGAAAAGCCACGTTGACGGTCCAGACTGAAGTGTAGTCCACATTTTCAGTGCAGAAATAAGGCACGGTATTTTCTACAGACAGCTCGGATTCTCTCTCGCTTCAGACGTCAAGTCGGAGCCGGACATGTCATCACCGCAGCAGGAGAAAATGGAGACCAAAGGAGGACATCCACCTGCAGGTAAAGCTCTCACAGCAGCTGGGTTGTTTTTCAAAGCTTCCTTTAAAGTCGAAGGCCTCTGTGTTTGTGCACAATGCAGCAAGGAAATCACATGACTATGAATCATTCTTGTGCAGCAGCCACAGTGGCTCATGCTGCGCCATATTATTGTCCTGTTTTAGAAATCACTCCCAGTGGCATGTGATTTTTGTCAAACATCCCCTCTGGCTGTTGATCCGAGTGCGATCTTGTAGCAGATGACGTTGTCGTGACAGCTTATGTAAAGGCTTTATGCTTCTACTGTCACTGCATGTTGCTGACGTGTAGGTCAGCCGCTCAAGTATTGCGGACAGTTAAGGTGTACGTGGACGTGGGCAGTGGGCCACAGCAGCTGCATGAACCGATTGCACACTCAGATAACAGATGCCCCCTCAGCCTGAGATTAGTAAGAGGCCCAGTACACAGATACTGCTGTCTGTGCAGTACACGAACACTGAAACGTGTTACAATGCATTTATAAACTCTGCTTTTAGGACAATATAACCGTATCTTTCCCTCTGATCACAGTTCAAGGTTAGAGCCTTCGTAACATCTGTCCAGCAGCTGCCTGGGTTGAAAATCTAACCTATTGGCTACTACTGTAATTTGAGCTTGAAACCTTGAGCTTTAAATTGCGGGTCAGTCTTCCAAGTCAGTACCCAGTATGCCACACCCCATCAGCAAAACAAAAAAAAAGGTTTCAGTTTAGAGGAGACATAGATTCACAGGATTGTTGTTTTATTTTGTTGATGTTCATTTGGAAAGTTTTACTGTTTCTTATGTAGACAAATCTTGCAGACAAGAGAGTTTGGGACCCTCATTAAAACCATATTGATCATCAATGTATAAAACAAATATTAAAAAACAAAATAGATGAAAATGAGTTAAGCTATTTAAAAGCTCGAAATACAGTGGCCTGAATATGGGCCTCACAAAACCCTACCACGGTCTTTCTGTATCTACTATAAACAAGCATAAAAGTCTGTTTTCTAACTCAAAAAGAAAATTTACATTTTAAATTACTAGTAAAGGTGTAAGGTCCTAGCTGGGTTGCATTCACAACAAGCCTTCAGCATGTACTTAACTGTTGGCAGTGCAGTTTTCTACTCTTTGTCTCTCTGTCTATATTCAGAGTTAAACCTCAGGCCTCTGCACTAAGTCATTTGAGTTTTTTTTTTCATCTGAAATAATGGATACTTTCTAGGTTTTAATTGCAGCATTTCATTTTTTTGTATTTGCATACCAGTCATCTATACTCCACACCTGCAAGCTCTTGAAGTAAATGAGATATTTATGTAATCAGTGGTTGTGTGTAATTATGCCTTTTTTGTTGCAGTGAAGGCAGGAGGGATGAGGATAGTGCAGAAGCACCAGCCAACTCCTGCCCCGGAACCTCCACAGAAGGAGGATGAAGAGGAATATGTGAGCAGCAGGTAACGCACACGTAACGTACAGAAATCACTGAAGCCTTATTTACAATGGTTTGAAATGTATGTATGCCTTTACCTTTCCTATTTTTTGTTTTTGTTTTATTTATACGTTGGTCTTCTTAAAAAAAATCACAAGTGTGTTTGCTGATCTCAGCGGGAACATTGTAGAACCTACTGTTCAAAGACCCAAATACAAAGCAAATAATTATCGAACAGCCACTAATTCAGCGTGACCAAAAATAATAACTACTTGAGGTGATATAAAATGACTAGAAATAGGCCGTTGAACATTCATACGTTAACAAAATGACACAACACCTCCAAAAATAACTTTGAATAGATTTAAACGGACATCAAAAGTGTAGCCTTCACACATCGTTTATATTCTTTCTGATGTAAAAACCAAAGACACATTCTGCTTCTCCGTCTCTTTGTAATTCGGAGACACCCACACAAATGACACTCCATGCAAATGACCAGCGATTGAGCTGCTGTCACTTCCATGAGCCAGTACAGTGTGAGAATTCGCTGCAGACCTGTTGCGTTGACAGCTAATTCGGTAAACAACATAACGAGGGTATAATTACAGTGTTAACTTGCGCGGCCCATTCAGCTGTCACTATTGTTTGCTTCAAGCGGCCACGGTCTGCATGTTTTGCTCCTGCCTACGAGCGTGTTCAGTTCACGCTACCAGCATCTATTGTGTATACCGAGGTTACTCGGGTGTGCGATAGATGTGTTATAAGGTGTTTTTGTTTTTTGGCATAATTAACGTGTTTATGTTGCAGATCAGTTTTGTATCATTTGATAATTAGTTTTGCTCTTGAGCAAAACAGAGGTAGCACAGGTACAGTTATTTGATTTGTAAAGTGCAGATGCTCTATTGTTCCTTACAGTTAATTACTGTGGAGCAGACAAGATAGCATAATTAAAGAAGGGTCGATTTGGTTAATAGTGATGAGCCCTGCTGGAAACTGCATACACATCACAGGAGTGTACACAGCTGAAGGGGAGATCGTCACACAATAAAGTGATAATGTAATTGTTGATTGTTATATCTGATCTATAGTTAATGAACGCCCTGGGGCTCGAACAAAACCCATAGACATGTACAGTAGGAAGCATTGATGAAAAATTGACTCTTGGATCAATAGATCATTTTTAATATTATTTATTTATTTGGTCAGGGGGGAAAGCTAATTATTCAAATTCAACATGCCTTTTTTGCTGATTGGTGGCTGCGAGGGGAACCTCATTAACTTAGAAGTTAGAATAATTAAATAATCAAGAAAATATTTTAAAATTTCCATCAATTCCCATCTATTCTGCATTCAAGCTATTCAAAAAAAAAAAGAAAGACCTTTGCTGTACTTAATGAAAATTGTATAATCAGTAGAGAGAGGCAAATGCACACCTACTACCCACACGTGTGTCGGCCCGTCCGCTCTGTGAGCATTTGTACAGGTGGTGGTTTCACACCTGGTATCAGTTTGTGTGTGTGCAGTAGCGAGAGCTGATAAATGAACAGTGACGTGTGGTACACAGCAGTGATCAGGGTTCAAGAACAGCCAGCAAGTTATCTGCATGTATGTCACACATGCATCCTCACGCACACATTCAATTATACATCGCTGGCTATGCTTCACTTCACTTCATGTGCCAGGATAATTGGCAGTAATAGACAGAGCACCGTAACAGTCGAGTCTTACAGTACAGGCCTGTTCACAGTGTAATTTAAATGGGTTTTGAGTTTTCAATGACCTACATTTCTTAACCACCCAACTCTTCTATAACGTCACGGAAAAGTTAAGCATCCTAATAAAAAATCTTTTAAAAAAGGCATTTAAAACTTTGAACTTCAGCCAATAACTTACAGCAAGTAAAACTTAAGTGCAGACATAGGTCGGATGTATTTTCTTTGTTGTAGCCAGAGATTCAAATTAAGGGGGAAAAAATTGAAATATAAGTTCAAAGTTTGAAAAGAAATTGACTAAATGGGTTAACGTGTTGCCATTATATTTATTTTTGCTGTCTACCGAGGTTGAATAAATGAAGTGATTCTGTCTTTAAAAACTCCTGCTAATCTTTAACATCGTTGACCAAAGTTGAAAGGGGTCATTTGGTAACATATTGGAGGTTTTTGCCCTGTACAACTTATCAAACAGTTTTTATTTTTCCCTCCCAAGTATCAATCCTCTCATTCCCCACTCTTCGCTGCTTTTAAATCCCAGTGTTTTGCAGATTAAAGAGCTCCAGAGGTTATTTATACAGCTGACACTTAGTTCCACCGTCTATTTCCAGTGAAACAAAAGTAGAACTGGCTCCAACAGTTACCGCCACATAAAGACATGCAACGGAACTACACAGAGATAAAAAGCGAGAGAGAGCTGGAACAGTTGTTAGTCACTTTAAATAGCTTATGTATTTTGCTCTATCTGATATCTTGAACCTTAAACTGGATGCGTGATCAATAATTACCTTTTTGTCTGCGTCAATGTTTTTATGATTGGTGCAAAAAATAACCACCACACCTTTACTGTGGATGCAAACTGAAAAATACTCCAATTTCCAAGAACCCCATTTGTTTGTATGACATCTTTAAAACAGACATTATAAAACTCTAATAATAAGCTCTGCTGCTAAGGAAGCAAACAGTCACATTTTATAAACGTTTTATGAAAAGGGGATCTGTTTTAAAAAATAAAAGTATAAAGGAAATGTATTAGAAATTCCATTTCTGGGTCACATGGTGCATGACAGCAAGAACAGCTGTATCTAAGAGTTTGCACAGTCTTTGGGGAGTTGATCCGTAAACATGCAAGACTAAGTGAAACTAACGTTTTATTTCGACTGTAGGTGTAAATTTTAGTTCCAGTGGACTTTATATTTAGATCGGTGATGGACTGGGTAACTGACCAGGGTCTTTGCCACTCTCCCCCTAATGATGAATGAATGGATGAATACAATTACTGATTTATACAAATTGTTATTTTAAACTTCAACAAACTAAATGTGTCTTTATGAGTAATTATCTGTCAATTGTCTCTGAAGAGTACTTAGTCTCCCAGTGATTTATTTAGTCATGTACACGCTCATATATACACACACACACACACACACACGTACACATATCCATCTCCATGTGTCACACTGATGGACGTCTAGCAGGTGGCTACCGGGTAAATTCACATTAGCAGCAGCCAGTGAAGCGTCGTAGTCAGGGGAACACCTGCCGCACACAATCAGGCTGGAGATGGACAGATGGGGCGCGAAAGGAGAAATAGGTGGCTGGATGTGATGACGAGAAGACGGGAAAATATTATTGCTTTTTTTTTTTTTTTTTTTAGCAAAAAGTGCCGTGATAATAGGAACATGAGAAACCATTAATCAGATCTTGGGTGATAATGGATGAAGAGGTTTGTGTTGTTCTGAATCTGGATGAAGTCTAGAAAACAGAACGTCATGTTAGGCCTCAAACACCACCACACCAAAATCAACTACACTAAATAATATGGAAACAAAATGAGACCAAATGTGAACACACCCTGAACCCAGCACATCTGGAACGAATATAAAAAATAGATGTAATCTTCTGATTACTTCAGTTTTTCCATCCCTAGATATTAAATAAACCAAAGATCATTGACGTTGCCTGGACGTTGCCACACTGTCATTGGCCGGTACGAGCACATGGTGTCCACTAATATGGACAGTGGTTTCCATTATTTCCATAATTATGATTTTATAAATAAAATCATAATGATTGTAAATGTAAATCCTGTTATGTTATTAGAAGGTTTGAATGTACAGTTCAACTTCTGTGTGTGTGTGTGCTGATGGGAAGTTCTTACACCCACACTGCCCACAGGAGCTGTGGTTAAATGTACACCGAGCTGACAGATCATGGTAAAAAGTTGAGAGGTGCACAGGGAGGTGGACGATAGGGAGGAGGACAAGGAGGAGGAAAGACAGGCAACAGGCATATGTTTCTATAGCAACCGCTGCCGTGCCTCGGGCAACAAAATTCCAGTTTTCTTAAAGCAGACCAGAGATGGTAAATTATTGGTTAAAATAAATACAGAGAAGAAGAAAACAGACAAAAGAGTTCATGTTCAATTCAGTCTTTTGAGTTTTGCATACATTTGCAGTGTGGATTTCCTTCCTTTTTTTTCCTCCATTTTTCTCCTTTCCTCGTTTAACTGAGCACAAAGAAAGCTCCTCCCTGGGATCCCTTGCAGCTCTCTACTGCCCCCTGCAGGTTATTTTTTTAACATTTAACAATAGAACGTTTTACTCCCCAGTTATTTTTTTCTTTTTTTATATTATGTTAGTAATAGGACAGCGCCTCATGTGATAAATGATGTAGTGTGTACTGTTAAAAAGTATGCAGACATAATCAGCCCTTATTGTAAATTTGAAAATAAAAAGAATTAGAACTAATGATGCTGGCAAATACCTATTGGTTATGGTGGATATATTTAACATCTGATCAAAAAAAATGTACACGCAGCTACTTCTAGGAGTTGCTCACCTTGAAAAAAAGTCTGTCTAATAGGTTTATAGTGCTTCTTTATCTAGATGTTTCTTATCTGTCTGCTCTCTGTCACTTTGGCTTTAAAGCGAAGTTCCAGGAAGACAAAAAGGTTTCTTTTTTTCTATAAATTCACCCTGTCTTTGCAGTCGATATTTTAGGATTTATCTGAAGATTATACAATGGAGATGTACTTTTATCTGAACTGACAGCACAGACTAGTGGATGGAGTCCACACTGTCTCACTGTGTGAGCTCATACTAGCATGAGAATATTTCAGTGGGTTAGAACTCACTGTAGCTGATGGGCTGTAATCAAGAACAATTCTAATTTGACATGTTTGTATAGAAAAAAAAAGACATCAATGAGCTGATGAAATTTGTTTGTGTTAATAATTCAATGTCACATTTAAAGACATAAAAATCTGTGCGTCTGTCAGAGATTTATTTTGTTAGTTGAGAGTATGTAGCAGCCCTACTCCCCTGCAGATGGTGCTATGGTCACATTTTAAAGTCTGAAAATCTAATTTAGTCAGATTTCTTTTTTTAAAGAAAATCCAAAAACATTTAGCCTTGGAGACTGCATTCAGTCATTGTTAGCCCATGTGGAATGAGCACACAGAGTTTTGTCTTTATTTCCATGTCGTATAACCAATAAAATTAAAATGCCAGACAACATAACAAAAATCCTGGCTGTTGTATGCCTTGACTTTAATCAGCACCGATTTTAGACGATTTTATTCTTTGCACACTGTTTATATTACATGTGAGTTTAGGGGTCGTCTTTAAGTTGGACATCTTTGACTGTAGCTTTGAAGGTGCACTCTGGTCTTTAGCCGCAGGTGAATGTGCCATAAATTTAGACGTAGCTCATTTGTCATTTCAAGGTTCCACATTTTACCTGCCTTTCTTCTTGTGTCATTTCTGAGGTATTTCAGCTCTTTCTTTTCACACCCTCACCCCTCAGACCTGTTTCTTTCCCACTCTACTTTCCTTCTTTCCTAATGTTGAATTCTCCTGTCTTTGTCATCTTCTTCCTCTGTTAGTTTTTTTCATCTCCCACCTTCTTCCCTCTTTCCTCTGCACCTTTCCTCTCATCCAGCAGAGCCTCAGTGATTTGCCAGGATGAATGGTGGCTATTTAGGCTACTGGCAGGTCCATCCGAGTGTGTGTGTACTTGTGTGTTTGCGTCCGTGTGTGTTGGGGTGTGCGTGCATGCGTACAAAAAACTGTGAGTGTCTCTGTCAGTTGAAGGTGATTGTATTTTGGTCTTGTGTTACTTTCGGGGGTTTTAACACAGGTGGGTTAACATGTAAATGACCTGCATAGTTTTTGTTGTTATTGCAGACAAAATCACATTGACTTTAGCTGAAAACACATATGTACTTCTCCACATACCTGACTTTGAAAGATTTTGAACTGATCTTTTCTATTCTCTTGTTTTTCTGTAGTCCTCCAAAGGCCCCTGTCATTGTCTCTGGAGTGGTGACCAAGGTAAGGCACACAGTGACACAATTACCATTATTAGTAGCCTTGAAAATTGGATCATATTAATATCTGAGCCCTGCAAGAGGAAGGAAAAGTTCAGTCCTGACATAAAGCAGAAAAGTTTTCTTTTGTTTTTTTTAAAGAAAGAAAGCAACAGTGTGTGTCGAAACTGAAAACTGTATAAAACCATGAATCGGATCAAAATACAACAACTTTGTCGTACCTTCCTAATTGCCATATGGTGAGGATACAATAACTTGGCCCAAACACCCTGAACAGCTGTGACACCTAGTATTATTATCACAAAATGTGTTATTTTTAGCTAATAAAGGCATATTATAAACAGTGATGTTAGTGGTAGCAATAGCAGCGTGTTTTAGTCTGACAGTGTGTGTGTGTGCGGGTGTAAAGGAGGCCTCCACCGGCTGAGCAGTGCCGGTCCTGGCCCGATGTGTTTGTCTCTGTGTGTCAGACCGAGCAGATTGTTTGTGGAAGATTGTGGCGATAACAGCAAGGTGGCAGGCATCCCATTTATCCCCTGATCCTCCTGTAGCGTTCCCATTTGGCCCCTATCACAGCCATCACACCCAGAGGCAACCACTCCATAAAGCCCTTAGAAAAGCCCCCGGGGGAAAACTGTGAAACGTGTATATGGCACTGTGTGTGTGTGTGTGTGTGTGTGTGTGTGTGAGGTAGTGAGAGAGCGAAATGGCAGATCCTAGCCAAGTATTTTATACCTTAAATGGTTGACCGTCACTTCAGAGTGCTTGTGCATAACAAACATCATCAACATCAAGTAACAAAGGTAGACATTACAGTCTAGACAGTAGTTGCAGTGTTTTTACTATTTATTTCTTTCCTTTTTCAGAAGCCAGCGACAAAGTTTATCATGCATTGCTTTCAACAATAAACACCGACATCAACAAAGTTGTTGCGGTCCTACAGACGCCTGTAGAGAGATGTCTTCTAATTCTGTCCTATTAAAAATATGAAAACACAGTATGAAGCGTACAAAGACAATCTCTTAATGTCTGTTTATAGGGCGCTTAAGTAATTGAGTAAATACTCTCCACCCATGGGATGGACATGAGGATAATGTTTGACCTCCAGGGTAGAGACAGAGGACAATCGGAGGTCAGGTCGTTCTCAGCTGATACAGTTATCAGTGGAGTTGGCTTTAAATGAGAGACACCGCACTGTAAATGTCCACACACTCACACAAAAAACCCTACACATACTGAAAAGATTAGGGTCAAAGTTGGATGAGACAGGAAGGGCTTAGTTTTTTAGAGCTTTGATTGAATTGCTTATGTAACTTTCTGGGAAATCAGATTATGAGTCAACTTTATCTGCATCTGTGCAGCAACGTTCAGTGACGTCCAGACAGGAAAAAAAAAACAAAACTGTTAGCATAGTTTATATGACCTCTTTATTCTTAGTAGTTTTGTAGAAAGGGGGGGAAATTGTTTTTAAAAAAAGCCTTTATCTTGGAATGACAGATGAACGAATTATAAGTGCTCCATAAAGCTTAGTGTACTCTGGTGAGTTAATAGACACGAGAGAAACACACACTTTTTGACCAAAATCCAAAATATATACTGTACATATTAGTTTTTCTTCATCAGAGTGGATGATGTTCGACGATGAAACCTGCAGAATGTAACAGGATCTCATTTGATGCGTGAAGTCAATGCAACTAAACCAATTTCCGACTTCCTGTGACTAATGTCATGCTACGACTGTGTTTGTTCTGTTCAGGGGGATAAAGACTTCACCCCAGCTGCTGCCCAGGTGGCACACCAGAAGCCCCAGCCCTGTGTCCCCAAGCTGCCCCCGGCACAGCACATCAACCAGCACATCCACCAGCCCCGCAAGTGAGCCCAGGCAGCAGCGGCTCCACTAACTCCACCAGCCGGCCTTCCCAACGGAACACACAGGATCAAGATGTTTCCCCACCTGGCACAGATCTCTTTGTAAAAAAAAAAAAATTGACAGTAAATTTGTGAACTTGTGTCTTGTTGCATTGCACTTGCAAGTATTTTTATTCTTAAAAAAAGAAAACCAACCAATATAACCCTGCTAGAAAAATCTCTTTACTCCCTAACTGATGAAGTTAAACCTGCCCTTTGGTGTCCTGAGTAAAAACAGTTTACACAGTGAACAGTCTTAAGTTGGTGTGTAGGCTCTTTTCACTGGATGATTTCTCCGAGTCCTCAGTCTTTAATGTGAGTCTGTGAGGTAACTGTAACTTCACTGACCCAGCACCACCTGACCACAGAACAGCCAACCACAGCAATCAATAATCAGGCCAGCTCAACCCTTTAACCACATGATCTTCACACACCAAAAGAACCAATCAGCAAAAGAGGAGGTGGGCACGACATTAGTGATGTCACCACAAACCAGACACACGGAAAACAAATTATCTAAACGACCAGAATCAGTGGGATGTGACTGAGTCACTGACGCTGTTGCCAAAGTACACATGTACAGCATGGACCAGAGGCAGACAGAGAATTAACCAGTTATTATCCCAAGGCTGATGTTACCAGCAACACTGACAAGCATTCCTTTTGACCTGACCCTAATTGAACCGACTGTAAGTAAAACACGTTAATGAAATCTTCACCAGGAATTAAACAGAACATTCCCAACTGCATGTTTTTAATCCTATAACAAATTGGACCTGTTTCTTTCCCAGCTACTTGTCATAATTAACGTTTGGCTCCGACTTTGATTACTAATTTTTATATGTTGCTGCAGCTTTGCCTCACCAGGAAAAGTTTAATTTTAAATGTTAACTCATTCAAATGAAAACTCAACCTGATTAGTTTTAAAAGTTGCCTTCCCTGCAGTGCACACACACATACACACACCACCCTTTTACCCAATCACCTTTCCTCTTACACTCAAGTGTCATTTTTTCCAACAACAATGTTCAGGTTACCAGGAAAGAATGAACGTAATTAACGTTGCCATGGTCGAATGATCTCATGTGTTAATTTAATGATGTTTAAAAGAGTTCTATTTTTGTTTTCTCTATTCTTTTGTTCCATGAGAAAAATTGTTCAAATTGTACAAATCTGTAGTCATTAAGTGGACGTGGGTAGTAGGCGTGGTTGTCATAGTAAATAAAGATATAGACTATCTTGACAGAGTGCCTCGTTTCAGGTGGACTTTTTTCCTTATTTTGTCAAATTCATGGCTCCTGATAACTCAGCAGGATAATGTGAGCGGTATAGTTTTTGTCCCCGTTGTCGTCCTGATGGCTGTTGCCTCCTGCGGTGAAGTAGCAGCCTGCTCTAACAGATTAAGGGCTCAGCTGGTGTTGTCAAATGAAACAGAAGCATCTTTCCAAGAGGTGTCGACAGTTTTTGTCCCTTTGGCACAGGCGTGCACACACACTTCTGCACCAGGTGTCTTTGCATGTAATCCATTTTCACACCAACATCTGCACCAAGGTTTCCTGTCAGATTATGTTAGCCTGAAATCGGACAACGGTGGCTCATTGGGTACAGGAGTACGTCAGGAAAACTGAACTTTTTAGTTTGAAAAAAAAAAACGAGGAAATATCCTTGACTTTGTCTTTGGATGTACTCACTGTTGTTCCCTCACTGTGGCTCAACATCTTATAAATTATTATACCACATTCTAGACTGACTGGAAGAGCAGAGTTTGAAGGATGTTGCTAAAAAATTCTTTTGTTTATTTCCAATTGTACATTGTTTGACAAGTTTTCAGCCTTTTACCATTGTTTACAGTTGTAAAAAGCACTTGTCTTGATGGACAACTAGACTGTCTTAGTTCCTTGAAGACGTCTCACCTCTCTTCCAAGTGGCTTGTTCAGTTCTAACCAACTGCTGGAGAATTCTGGTATCTAACCTCCGAGTGGCTGAATATGTGTTGTTGCAGTAAAACAGAGGAGGTGACATGATGACATGACATGATGGAATCTGAAGTCTCCCATCTACAGACAATGTCCTGAGTTCCCTCCCTAAAAAACTCAACAACACAGACAAGCTCTGTGGTGATACCAACCTCCCAGGGTTCTCTGAACTGACGGAGCCTTTTAGATGAGAGGTGAAACGTCTTCAGGAAACTAAGACAGTCCAGTTGCCCTCCACATACTGTAACTGCTTTGGATAAGAAGACCAGGATGACTGAGAGCCGGCATAGACAAAAGGTTGTTTTGGTTTCTTTTTGCCTTTTTATTGTTTAAGTTTTTTGCAAACAGTTACCTCTCCCAGTCGGTCTGACCCCAAAATTGTTTACTTTTTGAATTTTCTTTCAACACCATAAAACAGGGAAGGTTACGTCACCTGTCCCCACAGCAGCGACCTGCACTTTATCACATGACCCTGAAGTACACACCACTATCTACCCCAGCCATGTGGACATCACGGACATTAAAACTGGCCGCAACTAGTTGATACTGAACATTGCTCTGAGGTGAGAGCGGAGGGAAAGTTGTTTGACTCAGGTCAGGAGCATTTTGGATGTGTCTCTGGTCATATTGATAAGGTGGCACAGCTGAGATTACACTGACAGCGTGGCTCCACATATCAATCTTGATCCTCCTGCAGCTGCTATTTCTAATAGCCATTGCAGCCTTCCCACAAAAGCAAGACTAATACTCTGTAGGCACTGTTTTATAGATAGAAAAAAGTGTTTTTGCTGCCCCTTCAGTGTCAACTAAAGTATTACATCACTGTACTTCACTTAAATCAGGTTGAAACAAACTTTTTGTGTACTAAACTAGTAATATCTACAAAGTTTATCAAATAGGATTTTAGCATAGGATTTGGTTTCTACATGCTACAGTTTTAAGTTAGCTTTGTAGAGCTAGAATGACCTAAAGTAACCTATCTGTTCATGTGCTTCAGTTAACCCTTTCATGCACAAATTATAAGACGCCTCACTCAGGACTTTTTTCACAGATGTTTTTCCTATCTGTTAAGACATAACACCTTGTGATTCTTTATTCTTTAGATGATTTATATCATCTGGACCTTATAGGGCTAAACTAAGCACTTTACAGGCAGCGTGAGCTATAGAACATTAAGTTGGGAAATTAACAAAAACCTTAGCTAATTTTGGATTGACACGCACATTAAATTTCTTAATCATTGTTTGTTCATATTGTGCACTATCCTTTAATACAAGTCACTATGAAGTTCACTGCCCGCTCCAATACTAAAACAATTAAAGTCTATATTGGGTAGGGGGGTGCATACAATTGATTCTAGGCCCAGTTTTCTCATTACAAGGGTCAATGGTGGCCTTTTTTAATAGGTTTAATGTTGCTCCTGACTTAATTATAACCTGCAAGGCTGTTCAAACAGAACTAATAAGTAATTTAATGCAAAGTTGAAATTCCTCTCTTGAGGTTGTGCAGCAGCTGAGAATTGCATTTTGTTTTTAAAATACAGCCTCAAAAGTCTACGCTAGGAGAATTTGTCCTGTACCCTGCTGTTGTGTGTTTTTCAATGTTGTGAAATGTAATTTTTAATAGATTTTCCTTGTGCTTTTTGACAAAAACATAACCTACAGTATCAACAAAATCTTTTTTTCCTCCTTCGCTCTCTTTCTGTTGTTTTGAGATCTCCGATAAAATCCTTAGATATTTTTTTCATCACGTAACGGACAAAGACGATGTTATGTTGGAACATGTATTGGAGCTATCTGCTATGAATGCTAAGCAGAGGACACTTTGCTGCAAGCTCTTGACTCACTGCTGATATTGCTTCATTGACTATTTTATGTACTTCAAACTCAAACGATACACGGATATTGCTTCATTGACTATTTTATGTAAATTTTATGTAACGATACACATAGACTCCTGGATGAAGCAAATAAACGTATACGTTTAGCAAACCTACAACAGCTCAATCAAAAAAAAAAAAAAGACTGTGAAACAGACAACTGTGAAGAACCTCTTCGTGTTAATGTTAAATATGTTAATGCTGCAGCCACTTGGGCAGAGTTAAATAAATGTGCCCATTGTTCATCCTTTGTTGTGTTCAAATGACTTCCTCTGGGGAGTATCTGAGCAGATTGCCACTCTGAAGTCAATGAAGTTTATTTGAAGAAACAATTTAGCCACGCGATGCCCTTACAACCCCTTAGCAGCTCATCACCATTTATATTAGTCGCTCATTCTCAGATGGCACTTCAACCGCAATCACCAGAAGGAGTTAGGACCGTGAAATTGTCCTCTCCAAATCCATACAGTGTTTTATCGCAGCCTTTTGTCGGCGCTCACAGTTTTTTTCTTCTTCTTTTTTTCTGCTTTAAAATATGGAGATTCAGTGAAGTAATATGACCCTGTAGTTTTATTACTGCTGTGTGAAGTGAGACATTCTTTTTGTTCTGTTGGACGTAACATTAATTACAGTGATCGCTAGTGTTAGCAGAACATTTTATTCGGTTCCTCATCTCAATGCACCAAACACACACATCTAAAAATTGTCATTGCATGAAATCTGATTATTTTATATTTATACTCTATAATAATTTCAGGAATGTAAACGGTGTAGTTGAGAATTTGAACTTTCTTCCCGCTCAGTATAAATATCACCAAATGCATAAACAGTAGTGTTATAGATCATTTTAAACATTAAAAAAGTCAAATATCAGCAAGAGAACATATTTTAAACTCTAAAAACTCTAAATTAAATTAAAAATAAAGTTTGTCAACAATATACATTTTAATTGCTAGTATCAAAATATACACAAGTATAATAGGTCAGTATATTTGTTTTTACAAAGCTTTTTGTTTTAAAAGGTATCCAAAATATTGTTTTCTATAAAAGCTTTTGTCTAGCTTTCTGTGAATATTATCTTAATTCTATTTGTAAAAAAACAAAAAACAAAAAAACAAACACATTCTGCTTTGGTTTTATGTAATTGCCTTCCACAACACCAGTGTGTGGAACACTAAAATGTGTCCAAAAATAGAATTTGAATTTTTAGAATATATATATATATATATATATATATTTATATATATATATATATATATAAACAAAGAGTTAAGAGAGAAGCCAACATGTATCAAAACCTCTGTGTGATATCACAAAGGACAAAAAGACATTTGTAAAAAGCCAGTCTGACTTCATGTTTCGTTTATTCAGTCAAGAAGCAGATAAACGCAACTTTAAAATCTAATGGCGTTCTCTAACGACACTGTCTGTGCTTTTTACCCTGAGTGTGAAGGATTTCAAAGATTGCAGAAAAAACACAGATGTGTTGAACCCTGATGACCTGGTGAGATCACATTTTTCTGTAGATCATTTCATCCCTTGAGGGAAACAATGTCAGTTTCTTTTCACAGTTGAAATGTGCCTTTTGGTCACAGCTTCCAGCCTCCTCCTCTCAGCCTCCTCCGCTTTCCTGCGCTCCTCCTTTAGCTCCTTGTATCTCCACCTTGGGATCTGCAGCAGGTGCCCTCCTCCATCTTTGGAGCTCCTTCTACGGATCCTTTCCGGTTCATAGGTCGGTGTAGGAGCTTTGGACACCCTCAGTTTGGGGATGCTAATACCCGGCCTGATGCTGCTTCTTCTCATCGCCGTAGGCACCGGCAGCAGGCTGGTTCTTCGCAGCTCCACGGCTTCATTGTAGGCCACAACACCCAGGCTCAGGCTCCTGTGTCGACGCACCAAGCTCTGAGCCTGGAGGCTGGCCCGGCGATCTGCCACATTCTTGGCCCTGGTGTTTTCCAAGAGTTTTTGGTGGCCATCCAACATGTCAATATTCACAGTGCGTAAATTCTTGGCTCGCTGCTGGCGCATGATTTCAGGAACTGCATAGCGCCGTTTTCCCACTCTTGGGGGGCTGTCTGGACACACCTGAAACAAGACCAATAGTCCATCACTGCTTTGGCTTGTTGGTATTAGTAACAATAATGTCAGTGATTTGCCTCCATTAGGAGCCCTGTCCAATATGCGTAGTATAAACTGCAATCCCAAATTATGACTAATTCCACAATAATCAATTAATATATTGATCATTAAAAATCAATTACTTTTAATCTAACTACCGCCACAAGTACATTCGTTTTCTTGTATAACGTAAGACTCATGAAGCAGCAGCAACATCCTGCTACATCAACAATAAAGTAATTTGCACAGTGATGCTAATGTCAGCTACCAAATGGAAAGTGATGTGTGTACAAAGGTTTAGCTCCATTTATGGGTAAATGAGCTGATAAATAACCAAGTAGTCCAAACAAAAACAAATGCAGAGGGAACATTATTTTTTCCTTATCATAAGCAACGCTCACACTCATTACTTAATGTTAACTGCTTATTATGGAACAGAAATGAGCCGTAGAAATGTTGTGGATCTTTATTACTTACTGTATGACAAACAACAGCGAGGAATGGGCTCCTAATGGCCGTGGTGATGGAGACCATGTGGTCGATCACACCTTTGTCTTCAGGGTTGGTGACATTGGCAATGTTAAAGACGTGTCTTATGGTGCTGGACAGACGTTTCAGGCAGCCGCGTGACTCGCGAGCTTTGGCTACGAGTGGTGCGAGCAGTGGCCACTCTAGACTGGAAGACAAAACCACCAGATTCAGCTCTAATGTCATGGAGTAGTACATGAAAGGCACATTATCCAATCCAGCACAGCTAATAAGGAAACAAGGCCACACTGTGTCCAATTAAGCTGCACCATCACAGTGCTGGGTATTTCTATGATATATATTAATATATATAGTCGAGAGCAGCAGTGTAGTCAAGAGGAAAATTCAGTGTCAAAAAGCAAGTGTTGCTTTATTTGGATATGTTTGAGTGATGACTCGATCCAATACCATGCTTGACAGGAGAAGGCATGCTGATGGAGAAATAAAACGTATCCGATTGATATTGGTATTGGCAGATACTCCTAGTTGCAGTGTCGGTACCGCACCCATCCCTAATGTACTGTATATGACTCGACGTTTCTTCTAACTCTCCCCGCTCTTGACACAACCCCAGAATTTGAATAGAAGCCACGGCTGTATTTTGTACCTGTATGTTTCACAGCACTGGTTTGGACTGGGCCGTTCCATCAAACGCATCATCACCCAGGCAGTTTCATAACGGCCGGTAAATAAAGCCCACTCTCTGGGAGTCAGGTGACGACCACTGTCTCTGGCACTCAGGGAAGCCCCTGTTAGACATTGGCAGAGAAACATTAGGATATACTGCAGTTAAAGTTAAAGGTACTCTCTCACAGTCCAAAAGCACGAAGGACTATGTTAATTGTTCACTCTGTCGACCATAGGTGTGAATGTGAGTGTGAATAGAAGTCCCTGAAAAGGATCGAGTGGCAGATGATTGATGAATTAAATAGTCGGAGAAAGATGTATTGTGTGGTGTATTTAATTTTCAGTCAGTGTAAAGTAAAAAAAAATGGAAGCCTGAATTAAAGCTATGACTTTGGAGTAAAAGCTGAAAATCTCTGTGTGAGCAAAACAAAATATAAAACAATTGCAGCAGCGGCTCCATTAATTCAAGGGTTTCTCTCTGATAGATAAATAAATAAACAAAACAACTGTGATGCAAGATAGTTGCAAAATCACTGGGGGAAAAAAAAACATTAAAAATGCCCAAGTGTACAACAATTGGAGGAAACATCAGCTCCACATTCTCACAGTCTTGGCTCTGACTGTCTGATTTGTCTTGTTGTCCTGAAGTGTTGGTCTCACCTGCCATCATGAGCGAACGTACACACTCCACCCTGCCCTGCATGGCTGCCTTCATCAACGGGGTGAAACCATGGCAGTTTCTCCTCTCTATGTCCAAGCCAGGGTAGTAGTTCGTTGGTGATTGTTATATGGCCTTAAAGACAGAATGGAAAGTTACAGTTGGTTATATTGGTGACTTTCACTAAGTCTTACTGCAGCTAGATACTCTTCTCATCTGTGTGTGTGTGTCAGACAGTGTGGGTTTTATCAGTGTTCCATAAATTCCTGTGTTAACGTGTGTGCAAGCCTGTGGTGTGTGTACATTTAACTCACCTGCTTGAGCAGCAGTGATGAGAGCTGTGTTCCCTTCACTGTCCTGCCAGTTGACGTCCAGATACGGACACTGAGACAGGGCTATGACAACGTCCACGTAACCTTGGTAACAGGCCACCAGCAGTCCTATCTAAGATGGGTTGTTGTTGTTTTTTAATTGACAGAAGAGAAAACAGAGATGGATGTGTTAAAGTACTATGATGAGGAAAAGAGTTCAGAATCAGCAAAATGCTCCAGGAAAGATTGCTAAAGCAGACACAAAGCCAGTCTACATTAAAGTGCTGACATGTCAGACGGAGGAGGGAGCAATATTTGCTCTGTAAAGCCTGGGGAACATCTTTTAAAACTCATAGCCATCATTAAGCATGACAGCTCCTGTCTATTTTAATGAGAAGAGGTCAGTGCAAAAAGGAGAGTTTTTTTTCAATTTTTTGGACGGGGTGATACTGCAGTATACTTGAAGGACTATGTACACGATAGATACACAAATATAAATGATGACTTTTCTCTATGGTTGCTCAGGACGTCTATCTGTCTTTAGTGTTTCTGTCTCAGCAACATAAAATAATTATACTGTATTTAGGATTGTGGATTAGTTTAGATTAATCGTGATTAACTACCAGCAGGGATTAAACCAAAGCTACGCTGAGATTACTCAGATAAAAAAAAGACAACCCTTGTTTTAATGCATTTCATCCTAATTGGATCCCAGTCCCTTGTCCACTCTGGTCACGTCCAGAGAAAAATTTCAGAATCTTTGACGATGGCACCACCAGCTCAGTTTCCTGTTGAATTATACAGTGCAACTGCTTCCCTACCATACATCAAGGTCCTTACCCAGGTGTAGCTCTCTTTTCCCTTTTGCTGCTGTCTCTCTGTCCTACATCAACCTGACCCTCATCTCTATCCTGTCTACACCCTCTCCGTCGCCTGCCTGCTGTCCTTTTGTGGATGGCTGACTTTAGATTTTCAAACTTTTTATGAATAGTAGTTTTGGAATATTAAAAATGTTATAAAAATACAATACACCTAATGATACAGATACAGAATTTTGCTATAAATGTCCATGATTTTTTAATTACAGTGCAGCGTGACTTGTGTAAGGGCTGCAGGACTTTGCTTGTGGAAAAGTTAAACAAACAATGTGCTATTCAAAACAAGCTATTAATAGTAAAAAAAAAAAAAAAAGAAGAAGAAGCAGATCATGCTGGGACTTTTAATTAGGGCTTTAATGAATCCGAGTGAGCTGGGAAAGTCATCCAGTCAGACCTACTCATGTCACACCAGCCTTAGGCAGTGCAGGGTTTGCATCAGATACAACCTCCTGTACTCAGTTAGCAAAAATAAACAAATAGAAATATGTTTTCCAACCATGCTGGTTCTTCTACATGAAAAACGTTCTTATCAGATTCGGGTGTTTTACTGCATTGCGATTTAAGCAACAGTAAAAACAACAGTGTAATGGCCCAGCTGCAGATGATCATAGTGTATTCATCTATTTCAAAATATGCATTTGCAGAGTTTTCATTTTCATGGTTTCTGTGACTGCGCTGCTTGTTGGAGTATAAAGGCAACAACTGGGAGGGACAGGCCATCCAGAAGAGCAACGCGTGAGCTGAAAATAGGCGTCAATTAGCTCATATTGTTTCATTAAGAACCAAACACTCCTCATTTGCCTTCGTTTATTAATTCACTGCACAATTACGGTGTCAGCAGCTGTTGTCTCTGCTTCACAGGACTTGATTTGCAATAAGTTTATAGGTCTAAGATGTGAAATTGTGCACGTGTTATTAGACACGTGTGCACATGCATATTGAATCAGTGCTGGTCTGTTATTTTAATATAGTAATTGAATATTCGTAAATAATTTACGAATAGTTTGACGCCAAGCCTTGACACTGACTATTGTGGAGTAATTATTTTTGGTAATGTGTTGTAATTTGTTCCACATTTAATATACTTTGAAACTCCATGAACCTTCTTCTGTGACACCGTGTTCTAATCATAAAAACACTTAGACGAGGCACTCTAACTCATGACGGGGGTTTTTTACTCTTGCACACAGTGTTCCTCGATCATGATTTTTTATTCAGCTCTGCTGTGAATGTGATCAGATGCTGTGACTCACTGACATAAATGAATATAATAATGGGAAAAGCAAGTACGGAGAGGGCCTGAAGGTTTGAAAAAGTTTTAAAAATTTGTACCGACCTCCTCCACATCTATGCACCACGTCAACACACACATTGAAGGACTTATACTTTGTGGCTTTGAGTAACACAGCAGGCAAGAATTCACATTTTTATTTAAGCAATGTGATCAGATGTTGACTTACACTGAGGATATTTTGGCTTTATTCTAGATATGACTGTGACCAACAGGAGGCGCAAACAACCAGTAATTCCAAAAGGGCAAGATTTTTCCATTTTAATGTAAGTGTGTCAAACACTGACACCTTCTACTGTATGTTACCTTCCATTATGTGATTTATGTTCATTTTTAAATATATTTTTTTACCCTTTGAAATAAAGAGTACACCAATCAATACAAATACATTCAATTATCTTCTCTGACTTAATGTTTTCTAGAGCTGTGAGACGGCTGGAGCCAATCCCATCATTCATCAGGTGGGATCAGTCCCTGGAAGAAAACTACACAAACAACGGCCAAGTCCATACAGTAAGACCTATATATTTTCATCCAAATATTTATGTGGTAGAATAAAGAATGAAGTGCTCTTATGTTACAATGATACCAGGTAAACAGGGGGCATTTTTACGGAGCAGAAATGTAAATATATCAATTATTTTCACAGTGTGGCCACAATAACGAACTGTTTTCAGCAGTCTACTAAATGTGTTTCCTATACCTCCACACAGCCTGAATCAATTTAAACTTCTCTCTCTCATTAACATCAGCGTAGCAGTCGGGGTAAACGCGGTGGTAAGAGATAACCGAGGAGTAACTGGATGATATGTCTGGAAGAAATTCACTTACGATGGCACCGGTCCAGATAGCTATCAGGTTAAAGATAGACGCACACACATAGAAGCCTGTCTGTGTCCTCTTTTTCCTCTGACTTACATGAACTTACACACACACACACACACACACACACACACATCCTTGGCACGACTCCAGCGTTGTTGTGTTGTACTCAATAACCATGCCCTGCAGCATGTCTGGAGCAGTTTTGTCATACGAAATCCTGTTTTCACTGTGCAGACGCAGTGTTTAACTTTTTTTACCGCACGGAAATACTTGTTATTCAACCATTTCTTTCTGATTCTGGTCCACTTCACCAGTACTTACAGCAAGAAGCGTGAATCACAAAACATCCAACTGTGCTTCAGAATAATATTTACTCAGTGACTAACTGCAGAGTTAGGAGTGAATAAAAATAACAACAGTTGATGTCGATCAGTTGAGAGATATTGGAGAGAGGTACTACTGGGTAACAAGAATGGATGAATGGTTAAAATCATGGCTGTGTGAGTGCGTTTTAGGGCTAATAACATGCAGAAAAAGCTGGTTCAACTGTGTAAATATGTACATCCAAATGCAGCGCATCATTTCAACGTGGTTGACTCTATGTCACCTCCTGCACTGCAGTGATAATGATGCTGCAGAACGTCCAGTCACATCAGCTGTTACAAGTGGTGAAAATGCACCACTAATCCAATCTGCCGGCTATTACTTTATCTCCATGCACACAGTCTGAAAGTCCACTGACTTTGGCTATATGTACAGTAAGTCTTAAAGGTTATGTAACATACAAGGTGATGGTATTTTATAACTTAAATTTGCGTTATGTCAATTTAGATCAGATTCACGTATCCAACTAAGGTAAACATAATGAAGATTTGAGGAATTGTATTTTCATGATAAACCTAAATTTGAATGCTTAAAAAAGAAACCAACCAATCCAACCCATAGGGACAAAGCAGCACAAAGACATTTACACACAGAGACACACAGAGACACATGCACACACCTAACGCACAATCTCACTATAATCTGGGGATATCCAGAGCTCGGAATAGAAAGGCTTAGCCTTATCACTGAGACACAAAGTGAGGAGATACGTACCTGTGGGTGTCTACGAGTCATGTGACAATGCTGTAATTACTGCCTCCAACAATAACAACACAATATCCATCAATTAACCCTTTACTATCCTTTTAGTATTCAACCACAATATTAAATACCTCTTGTTTATGGCATCTCAAACAACAAGAGGTTACGACTCAATTAACAGATGAACTGATTATGTTTTTGTTTGCACTGATATGTACATATTTGCAGGAGTCGTTACAAGATACTATAGGTAGTTCATGAATAATAATCTGTTTATGATTTAAAACCATAACCATCGCTCATTCTGTCAGTAGAAAGTAATGAACAAAAAAGTGTGTTCACGACAGAAGAAGATAATCCAAGAAGAAGCAGCCTGTGCGGACTGCAGTTCACAGACTTAAAGGTTTCAAACTAGTGGAATGAGCTCTTGGAGAGGGTCACTGGGTTGCTGGTTCAAATCTGTGTCTTTCTGATTATAGTTTGCACATCAGTGCATTGGTTTTTAAACTATTGCTCTGTTGTTTGAGCTGAAAAGGCTTTGTGTATGTTCTCTAAATTACTACATGGAATTATGGGGTTAATTTTACAGGATGGAAGCTACGCCTTGTTTTATAACTATAGGTAATTACTATATAGGACACACGCACTGGTGTCTCAACATATGTAGGTTCATGGTTGCATTGCACTTGCAAAGATATTTTTCTATGCTTACACGGCGAAACGTGGCATAACAAAATGGGTTTTTTTCAACTGCTATGACACTGTAATAACAGGCAGGACAATGGCTGCAGCTGAATTGGATCATGTTTTTTTAAACAGTACTATTCCACCCACAACTTAAACAGCAGAGTTTTATGTCAACCAGATTTCTCCGTTTAGTACTAGACAACGATAAACCTAGTAAGTACCACAATATGCCATCTTTATAAACCTAAGAACACTCGTGCTAACTTTAACAAAAAGGTTAGCACACAGACAGATAGACAGACAGACAGACACAGGCAAACACAACTCTATTAGTTGTCTTTACCAAAGGTATTGAGGCCAAACACTGAAAGCATCATTGGCAGAAACACGTTTCAGTCTGTAGCCTGTTAGCCCAGTTAGTGTCGTTCTGTTTGCCGCCGGGACGTTGAAATGGCTGTATCAAATCAGATGTGTATGACTGTCACTTTGATTTTTCCACTTATCTATATTTGCTAGCAGCATCACATTTGCCACCATCTGCTCCGACAACTTCGTGCCTCTCCCCACACGTCCCCTCATCTAGTCTTCTTCGTCTGCTAACACGATGCTGTCGGTGTGTTAGTCAGATTTGAGGGTTGTTTTTAGTACTGGTGTACTTTGTCACATGTTGTCTTGGAGGAAATGGCAGATTGACACTGACTGACTGCAGTGTGACACCCGGTCAGACTTTTTGTAAGTGAGAGAACGATGCAGAGAGAGAGTTGGGCTCATTGACGCGTAAGTGCAATGTGTGTGTGTGCGCGCGGGGGTGTATTGACTTTTCTTATAAGCATGACAGTAAATAGACACTGTTGGAAACAAGGTCAGAGGTTCCAGAGAATACCACGTGGAACTGATGTCATCTAAGAACATTTATTTGTTGGTGAGACACTGATACCAAAGGTTGTGGTCTATCTATCTATGTCTTGTGTATAATCTGATTTTGGAATGACAGAATCCAGTTTCTTTTTTATAAATAAATCATGCTTTTTTTAAACTGAACCCAACCCTTAATTTCATACAAATTTAGCAAATCCTATTTGCCACACAGCACCAGTACTTTGCCCGAATTATATTTGCTTCTACGCTCCAGATGACAAACAAAGATAACAAAAGCTTTTTCAGTGGTAAATGTTCAGCAGTTATTTGTTTGATGGCTGATGGTCAGTACCTGTGCTGCTCTGACCATCCAGTTCACCGGTGTTCTCCCACAGCTGGGTGTAATCAGTTGGACTGAGAGATGATAAAAGGAAGCAGTGTTTGGGTGTTGAAGAGTGAACACTTTAATACGGCTCACTGTTTTGTTTTTGGAGGGTGGTTCCTTGAATGAAATGTTTTTGTTTCGAAATCAGCTGTTACTCAACCAGCAGTGATGATTACTTTTAGTTTTACTGTGGGTTACGTTATTTCTTATCTGTCATATTGTAAAGACTTAGTTAAAGTCCATGTTTAACGTAGATTGTTGATAAATGGCCCATTTTAATAAAACTTCAGTTTTACATTTTGGATGTTTGCAGAGACACACTTTAACTCTGAAAGTTAAAGGTTTAAGATTTTAAGTGAACTGTTTAACAACAATTTTTATTAATACATTTGATATATATTTTCTCCTTTGTTTGTACCAAGAAATAGGCTTTTGTTTCAAGCAGCAGCACATCTATTTGCAGGTTCATCAATAGGAAAGAAATGTTGACCTATATAGAGTGCTATGCATAATTTCATTTTTAAACTGTAAACTGGTGTGTCCACAACCCACCTTGCCACCAAATAAACACATTGTAAAGACATTGCACACAAACTAGCAAACGAGGAAGTCCAATAATGAAGCCGGGTCACAAACTGTTTCCTTTCTCGATGTTTGGCCACACTTCTAAGAACTTGTCTGCTGTGCAGCCCATCACATGACTTGCTTAAAATAAAAAATGGAATCTGACACAACTCTTTAGTTGATTTTGTTCCTCCACGAAAACAAATGAAAACACATGTTCCTCTTTGACTGCCTATGAGCGAGAAAGGAAATTGTGTTGTTGTTCTAACCCGAAGCCTGTGATTTAACACCTGTTTTTGTGTAATCCATTACACTGTGGCTGTGTTGGCTAAATTCAGATGTCACAGGATGTTATACACAAACCCCCCCCACACACACAAAATTAGCTCTACCAATGAGGGCAGTGTAGCTTAACCTATATTGTGTCAATGTTTACACACACCTACTCCAGGTCAGCAGACATCCTGATGGCCCTGCACACACATAACTCTGTGTACTGCCACGCAGTGTCCTGCAAAGATTTGTCCCATGATGCAAATCAAAAAAAATACTTGGCGTCTTAGTCCTGAAGGCACCAAGTATGTGCATGCGTTACCCTCCTTTTGACATTACATAACTGTACATATGATCACTGTGAAAGAAATTGCTTGAGGACAAAGTTGTTGAAAGAGATGTTTTTGCATTCCATTAGTGTCATACTACTCTTTTCCCATTTACGTTTAATATAATACAGTATGTGCAAAAGCCACCAGGGGAGGTGAAGAGGGGTTAAGCTGTCAAATGGACAAAGAGGCAGAGACAGATGGGGGCGGCCTTGAGGTTAGAGAACAGCGTTTGTGATGTAAGGCTAGAAATATGAAAACACAATTCAGTGTTTCAGCAGTCCTCGTTTGTCCTCTCCCGATCTACAGTAGGAGCACAGGGGCAGACGGCATTCCATTCCGTTATATTGCAACATAAAAACGTGAACAACCACTTATAATCACATTTGTACCCATGGTATTATCTTAGTCATGAATCTAAACACACACTGGGACACCATGCAAACTCTGAACAGGACTTATAAAGACCACCAGTAACCACCAGGGATCGAACCTGTGATTTTCTCACTGTGAGGCAAAAATACAAACCACTCCTTCACTGAGTGAACCATACCTTTATTATGCGTTAAATCAGAATAAAATACGTTCTTGCATTTTAATAACAAAATATTTAATATAGTAATAATAGGTAAACGGGTAAAGGTAATATCGTGAACTGATATTATTTAAATATTAATCGTAATGGGACAGTAATCGACCCGTGCCTACCCTGTTGTTCCTGTCCCTCTCTTTCACCTCCTCCTCCTTGACTCCTTTCCGGATCATTATTCGGAGGATGGCTGCGTTGTTGGTGCAGCACGCTTGGAAAAAGGACAGGGATTCGGGGCTCGGTGGGGACCAGTCCACAAATGCATCATTCGGAGGGTAGAAGGAGTCGTCCGAAGTGATGCTCCGACACTCGTCCAAGTCCTCCAAGTCAACTTCTTCGAACTGATCATCCTCCTCTGCGCCCTCCTGCTCTGCTCCGACCTCCAAGTCAACTCCATTTTCGCACGAACTCAGACAGTCCTCATCATCAGAGTGGGACACCAGCTCCCCCGCTGTGCCCGGGTGGACCTGAGCTTTTTGCTGCTGCTGATGGAGCTGTTTGACCCGGACCAACGAGGCGCCTCCTCCATCCCTGTCATCCGTGATAAGCACCATCTAACCCCCCGATCCTAAGGCACTGTCCTCGGGATGGAGCGCAGCCTGACGCGCCGAGGCGCGGACATGGGACTCGCTGTCTCTCTGTCTCCCTCAAAGCGAAGCCTCTCCCGTGGATAAAAACAAAGGATTGCCCTTAATCCCCGATACCCTACAGAGTCTAGCAGCCGTCAGTCATCTTCCAGGACCTGTTGACATAACTGTGCCCACCTGAGCCGTGGACGTCCCACGCAGTGAAAGAGGCTGCCTGCTCATCCGGTTAGCTGTCACATGCACGCGTATGCAGACTTTTTAAAAAACACAACTACAGCAGAAAGGAAGATCTGGACACAGTCGACAGTCTGTTAACACAGTCCCCTAAGCCGATTACTGTAGATGGGACTCGGACCTCTCCCCCTCTCTTTCTCTTTCTCTCTCTCTCTCTCACCCTCTCTCGGCGTCTCTCCATACCTCTGAGATTAATAGATGCAGGTTTAGTGTGTATCTTACTTAGTCTTATGTAATTATTTTCAGCTGAAAGGATGTTTTAAATTACTTTAAATGACAAATTTCTCTGAAAAGTTGTAGAAACTCTATTATTACTATTACAACAAACCTTTAAAAAACCTTCAGCAAAACTACAGATAAACTATTTCTGTAACTAGTCAGTGTTCTCGTCTTTTAAATAAGTAGAAATTGGCAAAAGGCTCATCTTTTCATGGCTGGTGTGAGAAGGCAACTCACCAAAGTTTCTGTCTGTCTGGCCAGCACTAATTTGGCAAACTGAATCGACCAACCAGGGCCAGTGTTGCTGTATCTGGCCTGATTAGATCTACTTCCTGCTACTGACATGTCATGGCAACACTGTGCCCCATGTTTAACACCTTCTAAAAGAGCTTGGTGGTAGGAGACATTGGCAAATACTGCACCAGAAACCAGCCGCCCACTGAGCAGCTGTGTTCAGTTGGCAAAGCAGGCTGCCGTCTAATAAAAAAGACTGGGGTTCAATCCCAGGTGAACCACATGATGATGTGACCATGGGCGAGGCGATTATCTCTGCTGCATGAGAAATACTGTGAAGACAGTAAATATATATTACCAAGATAACAAATGTGATGACAAGGAATCGTCCACTAAAAGAATGAGGGGAAGAAATGCAGATTTATTAAACATGGCCAGTTTTCCTCAGTGATAACATGACTTTGCTGACATCAGCTGTAGGGGAAAAAACAATTGCATAACAGTCCCAGTGTGTAGCAATTATTATACCTCCATCTGCCCCCAGCTGCGCACTCTACTCTTATGTGACTCCTCCATCGCTATGGTATCATCCTGGTGATGTGTGGGTGCCTGTGAGTGTTGGCCGTCCTACTGATCTGTTTATCTGTGAAAATGTTTCAAACCACAGACACAAGATGATTGAACATTTTAATTAAAATATTTAGATAGAAAATGTTTTAATTTCCTTTAAGAATCTCCCACGGGGAAATTCAAGAGTTGTCTCTTCAGTCTGTTTCACACACTTCTCTCTGCCAGAGTTTTATTATGCCTTTGCTTTCAGAATGAGATGAATAATATATTTCTGTTTGGATTTCCATGAAACGTTTGGTCCGAATTTGGATGGCTGAAGTTTATCGTGTTGTAGAACAGATTCAGTTATCAGACATCGACTCCTGGGCCCTATGAAAAAAAAAGTCTGGTAGGAGAAGTCTATGGCAGGGAGTTGGAAACTTGGACCGCATCATTCTGAGTGACAGTACCAAACAGATAATGGAATAACCACTCCATCTAATTAATTCTATTTCTAACAGATTTTCACTATAATGCAGCTTCAACATATAACAGTCATGAAACCAACAAAAATTAAAAATAAAATAATGAAACACATTGAACTAGTGATGCACCAACCCATGTGGGGGGAAAAAATTCTGTTTTCCAACAGGCACATAACTCCAGGCTTGTTTAGGCAAGTTTGCTTAGCATACCAAAAGTGAAAGGAATCAGATTCTGCTCCTGTCTACGTGCCTTTTAGCCAATGTTCCACTGTAAACTGCTTCAGTCCATTTAAATTGCTGTATATTTAAAAAACAATCCTCGGTCAATTAGTTACATGCATTTATCATTTTACCTAATTTATTTTATGCATGAAATAGGATCTGATAAGACATGGATATTCTTCTTCTAAATAAAAACACTTTGACATGGACAGAATAGAAGATTTGATTCAAAGTTTGATGCGTTGAAGAGATCAAAAACACATTTCTCCCTACAACAGCTTGGTAGTTCTCATGCCTGCATCACAAATGCACCACCTGAGCACAACAGCAGCTTTACTGCTGGTGGGTTTAGAGGAGCTCCTGTACAACGTCCCTCACTCAGCCATTCATTAATTCCCCCTGAAACCACAAACATCCATAACACTCCTGGACCTGACTCGTAGCAGGAGAGTTGTACAAAGCTTGTCTCTGTGTCTCCCCCGTGACACAAGGGCTCGACTGTCGTGTTTATGTATGAGCAGGATCAATGGTGAACTGAAAGTGTTCAGATCTGAGTTTTAAGGCTTGTGTTTGTCTGTTTTTTAAGATTGTGAAATGTTCCTTTTTCTTTCTATAATCATCCCAATTTTTTATAGGAAAGTGTTTTTTTATTTTGTTATTAATCTTTGAACCATTGAACAGTGAAAGTCATAATTTTTTCTCACAGTTACAGCTTTGCAACACGTTCTGACCATTTGACCATCAGACTAATAATTTATTTTTTTAAGAGTGAGTAGGTTTTATTATAACATAATATGATTTTTAGGCAATAGCCTTTTAATTGTAATAGCAATGACAATAGTTAGTTACACAAGATAACGTTTTCTGTATATTCTCTAAATTCACATACATCGATTCATGTTTCGCTGCTGTTCACTCTGAAATCTTTCAGGCAGCAACCTTTAAAAAACAGAGCCTTTGTATCCACTCCGTCTTCTCCCATCTCCTTTTCACTGCTCTGCTACATTCATCACGTCCCTGGAGAAGTGACGTTGCATGTGAACCTTGGAGAAACCGTGCAAGCATGTGCAACAAGATCCGCCCTGAAGTTAAATCACAAACATCTTGCATGCAGTGACATCATGTTGCTGTCATTCTTCCAAAATCCTGCAATGTTGGAGCAACAGTAAATAGATCTGCAGTTGCACAGTAAAAAAAAAAAAAAGTAAAAAATACAAGTGTTGCCCAAAAAGCTGTATGAGTAAAACTGAAACATGTGGAAGGTCTCAGAAACTTTTTCTATGCTGTACTTCTCCTGCAAAAATGTCCCTCAAGGGGGGCCCACCCCCCACTTTGGGAATCTAAAGACTTTGCAGTAATCATATGTATCATGTGTAACAAAGACAATGACTGTTAAATTTGGACTGGTTTCAGCACATTGGTTATATAATAAGCGGCACCTGACGAGCTGGAACAGCACAATAAAGCAGTTGAATGATTTGTTACCATTTTGCAATATGTGCCGACATAACCCTGGATTATTGAATGGGCTCAAAATGGTAATTCTTAGTTGAACGATGATGTTATGATCTTTGCAAGTTAATGACAACACAGGTCATTGATGGGTCAAACACAGCAATGAATATTTGGCCAAAGTCTTGTGAGTGGATCAAAATATAGCAGTTATTCAGCAACACATTATTCAGGTCATATTGTTGAGGATATTGGACAAAAGTCCTTGTCAGCAGAGTCGTGTGATTAGATGGAATGCCATTGGGTTATGGGGGACTTTATCTGTCCACTGATCCTCTTTGACTCAGCCACAGCTGCAATATTTCATTTGTGAAACTGTCTTGTGTGTGTGTGCGTGTGTATAAAACCTATCCATAAGTCTACATTTTGGTAGCATCAGCTTTGCCTTCTGTGCCCATTGCAAAATCATTCTGCGTGCCACTGAGTAAAAAAACTGCCTCACTAAAAATCACCAGCAAACAGTTTTATGATGACAGCGAGAAAAATTGAAATGTCCTGTTGATGTTGACAAATTGCTCTTTCCGACAAAAGCAATTCCAACCAATAATAACCATAATTTTAGAAAAACATTGTGGGAGGCACAGCAGACACCACTGTGTCTGACGTCTCTGTGAACCTCCTCCTCTTCATCGCACTGACTCATCAAGCTTAATATACAGTACGTACTTGTATACAGTACCTGAAAGTTATCCGAGTGATGCTGTTGTATACGTGTCATTATGTCTGGTCACTGTGATTGAACTAACTGTAGGTCCAGAGATCAGTTTAGTGTAACTCTTTTTCAGCAGTGCCCCCTTGTGTAAATAGGACTATCGTCCAGTTTCCAACACCCTCATGGTACATTCATAGCTTTAATAAGTGCTTCAAATCTACATTAATATTTTTCCAAACATACAAATAAGTCAATTTTTACTGTATGACAAATACAGAAATTCCTAAATTGGAAATATTTTAAACCGTTCTTGACATGCTGCTCTCCCTGCAATAGCTCTGGGACACACCCCCTACCTTGAGAACTACTGGTTTCAATGTGACATGAAATCAAATCGATTCTCTGTCAGCAGCCTGTGGCTGAGGATGGCTGTGATTTGTCCCCAAAACAATTTTAAAGCATCGGTTGATTAATCCCATTAATTACATTTTATTATTATTTAAAACCATCTTAATTTCATCATTTGTTTCAGCATAGCATAGTTCTGGATTTTCTTGAAAGCAAAGGGAGGAATTTTGCATATTTTTTTTTACAAAGAAAAAAATGCATCAGTTAATAATATTCTGATTAATAACTGAAAATGTGTGGCCTAATGTTTGTAGATGGCTATGCTATTATTATACAACTATGTATTTTCAATTGGTACATTTGTAAAGCAAGATGCACAAATGCAAAACGACCACTATGGTCATTCTAGAAGTTGCAGAAATGCAGTAAATTAAAGATGATTTCTTGAAGCACTGGTGCCTGCACAGTCTACATCATATATATTTGTCCGTTGTTAGGCTGCTGAGAGAAACATATGCAGCAGCAGATACCAGACTTGGTCGGTCTACTAACTCATACACTGTGTTCTTGATAAATAATCGTTGACTAGAGGTAACACAAAGAAAAAGGCGATAATCAAACAGCGCCTGTAAGTCTGTGTAAAGGGTCTTTGTGTTTCCATTGCTGATCAATTAAATACATTAACCAGACTGGAAAACAAAGCATCAATCAGCCTGGCACTGATTAATAATAACAATCTAGTGTCTGTCTGATGCCAACAATTAAGCAAACCAATGTCTAGGTAATGAAACGACAGCTGGGCTTGAACGAGTTGAGTTCAAGGCTGCCATTTTAGTTTCTGTCTTTCTTCGTTTCTTCCTGTCTTGCCTTGTTTTCCCTCTCTCCTTCCTTCTACTGCCCAGCAACATAGAAGTTGGAAACTCGGATTGTGCCGTTCTGCTTGTTGCTGTCGAAAAAAACACAACAATGGAAGAGTTTGAAAAGAATCTTTTGACCTTGGTTATGCTCAATATGCAATAAAAGATCACAGATCACAGATTTTAAAGTTCTAATAAAAAACCTGACAGTTTAAAAGAATTGGAATGACAATTTAATTTAGGACTACAGTGGAACAAAATTATAAATATATACTATAACTACAAGTGTAAATGTACCAGTGGTGTACCATCAAGGCAAGGAAGGCCTCCTCTGCTGGTCCAAACAATATCAGAATCAATCTAAACAAGATTTGAGCGAACTGAATCTAGAAACTTGCTAGCGAGAAATTCAAGTTTTCTTTGTATCCACAGCTTCTGTCGAGTGGACATCCTGAGCCCCGGAGCAAATCAAAATTTCAGACTGGACTTTCAGCATTAGCATGGATGACTACAGGAGGATGGACTTTGTGTTCAAACAATCAGAAATGTTGGTGAGTAAAATACATTTTGCCTATTTATTAATATTGTAATTTGTTAAGTTAGTTGTAAAATTTGTAAAGTTATTATTAATGTTTTTTGTTGTGTGTGACTGAATTGTGCTACTTGGGTTTGTTGCTTCAGTAATGGTTGTTGTCATGACTACATGAGTTGTCTTGGCTGTTATACTACATTTCTTTATCATTTTGATGGTTTCTAAAGCCATAATGATGTTATTAAGATGTGGATTTATTCAGGTAGAACGCCACTGGAGGCCTTGGTGTGAAATACACGTTTGGAGTAAAAACATTTGTTTTCGAACATTTTTAAACTTATCATTAAATTGGCAGCTTTACATACATAAGATAAAACTGAACTGCACTTACACTTGTGGCAGGAGGCTGCTGAGATAGTTGTCAATTTGCTCTTGAGGCATATCTCCATCCAGGTGAGCCAAGTAGGTGTAGAGTTTGACGAAAGTGTCATATGGTATGGTTGGGTCTTCGCCGCCCTCGTTCTCTGTCAGGATCTCACAGGCAAACTTGAGAGAACTCAACAGGGTCTGAGGAAAAGTAGAGACAGAGCCTTAGTCAGTATTTAAAAAAGACAAACATTCAAAAATAATCACATCACAGCCTCCTACAACCAGGCACTGCAAAATCCACTCTTACATTTCCAAGCCATGAGGAAAATAGGCCAATCAATACAGAACGTGACTGCCACCATGTGGTTGAAGTGATCAGAGGCCACAAAAATAGCTTCGTCAAAAACTATAAAGTCCCAGCATTAAGTACATAAAGTTATTACTGCTGATCTGAATTTACTTCTAATCCTCAAAGTTCTTATAAGATATTCTCTTTGATGTGTCTCGGCTGCTCTGTCTGCATCTCGCCTTAATAGAAATGCAAAGATTCACAGTCGGAGAGGGATTTGTGCACTCATTCTCTCTAAAGCCCGGGGATCCTAATGGAAAAGTCTGCATCATAGATGCCTGGATCTAGTATAAACACTTGAGGACAAGACTGGGAGTAAAAAAAAATCACAAGTTGCACTGAGCTCAACTCAAGTGGTGTCTAATTGTATTAAGCATCTGGATCTGGCAGTATGCAGTTTACAGCATCTCACCCCTCCAAGTGCACAGCAGCCCAGGGCAAAAAATTCCATCCAGTCAACTTCTGAGCCGAAGCTGCCGAGTGACAGCAGGGTTTCCAGCTGATCCTCTTGTAGACACAGATCCTTCCATTTCATCCAGAGTTCCTCTTTGCTGCAAGTTTTTCTCTGAGACAGCTGTGATTAAACAAGTGAAAGTTAATGACAATGAGAAAAGTCTAAAACGCCTGTCACTGTCACCACCTCTGGTAATACTATAAATAGAACTTTCACATTAGTATTACTGGCACGAAGATTAGACACTTACTTAAATGTTGACCTTTAAGAAAATGTTAATTATTCATTTTTCTTAATGAATCCATCCAATACACTTAGAGGCCAGTAGCTGCCCCAGGTAAGATTAAATAGGTTTACAATGGCATGAAAATTTAATGACCCACATGGGAACAGGGTTACTGCAAATTGTAGATAAAGAAAATTGAAGGGAATTGAAGCAGTAAAAGCACAGTTGATTTGTGACACTGATGAAAACCTGTCAGCATCACATACCAGCAGAATCTGTACCAACTGTGCTAATGTAATGACAAAATATTTATGATTTGCTCCTTTGGTACCATAGGGAAAATACCTGTTTGTGAAGAGTCCTAAGTAACTCTGGAGTCAGTGCTGTGTCTGTCTTGCGGTTGGAAGCACTCATGTCCAATCTTTCCTTGACAGGCAGCGGTTCTCCATTAGACAGTGCAGTGAAGTATCTGGAAAATATACAATGTTTGTTTTTACCTATTTCTGAATAATTAATCTTGTTTTCCTTTGGTTTTGTTAGATACATCTCGATACTTTTTATCTTAAAAGTCTTGCTTCACAGTTAAAATAATGAAAGTCGTTTAACGGCTTTGCTTCACAGTGTTCTGAAATTACTGTTGCAGGGATTTAATTTCCAGAG